CATCGCCCATTCAATCTCTCCCTACAAAAGCTGTTTGACAAGAATTTCTCAACACAAAAGAATTAATGCAACACCTGAAATGTAAATGGGTAAATCAGTTCCAGAAAATCCATGTAACCCACAAAAAGCACTAGACAGGAACAAGGACAAATGTAATCAGAATTTAGTGTGGGACACGAGAACACTACTGTACTAATTTACAATGACAATGTAATAGTGGTGATAGTGACTGTACAATTAGTACTAATTACTAAGAACAACAGCTCAAAACGTCCGAAACGCGTTTCCTGCCCGGTCCGGATCGGAACAGGCCACCCGCGTCGTGCACGATTTCAAATTCGCGCCGCGGCGGGTGTCGGCGTGAGCGGCGGCCTCCCGCGTCCGCTTAGCCCGTGAGAGTATCCTGCTAAAATACTATAGTCAGAACCTATTAAATATATGAAGTGTTGTCTGACTTGTTCAATTTTAACAGCAAACCGTATTGCGACAGATTTTGATGAGAGAAGGATGACACCACGAATCCAGAACATCACTGGATGATGCTTTGAGAAGTTTTGATACTACGATCGACGAGGAAGAGGAACGCATTTTGAATTTACAGGTGAAAGGGAGGGCTGCTCCTTCCTGACAGTACCACCATTTATGTAAAAAAAAAGAATTGCTCCTGTGAATGAAATTCGGTGTGTTGCGTTGTTCTTGGTCAAGCAGTCGACTAAACGCAGGAATCAGTGCCGCCTTGAAAGAATCATGATCGAAAAACAGCAGATCTACGGCCGTTCTCAGGAGCTCACGACTGCCTGAGGTGAAGAAGCTGAAGAATGCATGCAGTTTGATTCGCTTTCATAATAATCTTTAGAAAAAGAAAGGCGGTCGCAAGGACAAGTTGTGAAAGTTTGGAGTATTTTCCGTAGGTAACCGAATACGGATGTTTGATTGATCGAAATGTCTACCAAACATTACTAGTTTAGACACTTAGATTTCACGTCCTCACGAAAAGTGCGGACCCCAGCAGATTTCCGATTAGGTTTCCTCGCTCGTAATCGTCGTTCTTGGTGATGGTCCGTTTTTTGTGACGGGCCCGAGGCACATTCAGAAATCCTGAACTCGTTTCCGTCTGGGAATGCAGGTACTTTGCACCGGCCAAGAACACGTCCGCTCATCGTTTGGATGGTCTTCCGAAAGGACGCTTGAATTTTATTGGAGTCCACTCCACTGCTCATTCCGTCCACCCACCATCTGTTCTTCTTAGTATGTGACCGGCCCATCTCTGTCTCGTTATCGGTATATTCTCCTGTATCTCGAGAATGAGCCAGGTTTCGATGATGTGAGCTACGTCTGTTGCTTCCTTCACATACTTACACGTACGAAATGGCCTCTGTAATCAGACATGCATTCAGGTTGATTTGTTCCCCTTGCACCATGCCTCATCCAAGGTCTTGGACGTGTGCAAAAGGATCATCTTCGTGCACAGCTTGCACAGTACACTCAACAAGTATATCGGACGGTAGTTACAAAGATTCTTTTGGTTACCCTTCACGGGTGGAATGACTGTTGTCTACATCTTCCACTAGTTTATGATTTTTTCTTTCTGAAGATAAGATGTCATATGGGTTGCAAGAAGTAAATATAATTTGTGGCCTAGAGCTCTTTGGAAAGGGGCGGTTATACTATCGGGTCTTGTGGCTACGCCTCTCTCCATGCTTTTCTATCGCAACTCGAACATCAAAGGGTATTCTCAATTCCATATCATGTGGTGATTGTCCCATCTTCGTGTATCAGGGCGGATGGTGGAATATCATAGTAGCCAGGTTTCTGATTCTAACAGCACTTCATCATACTAGGTCGTTTTTGTCGATAGTAGATCTTCTACAGCTGCCATCTATTATCATCTGTGTTAGGTGCTTTGCAGTAGGATCAAACTTCAGTTTCCTTCTCTCCTCGAGCAATATCTTATTACTAATGAAGGTGCGGTCTGAACTTCTTGCTTGAGGAACTGAGCCGAATCCAGCACAAGTTTTAAGTCCTTCGACAAGCCGCATGTAGTCCTCAGTGTGGCCTTCATCTACCTGCCAGTCATATGAAGAGAGGATTTCAATGAGAGTATCCTCGCCATACCGCATTTGTTTTGTTTTTCTTGCAAGATGACAGAAGTTCTTATCCAGCTTGTAGCCGAATCGAATATTCGCGCAAAGAAGACGGTGACCAAATCAGCGATTTTCCCTTTTCTCTAGCAATAGATTCCCATGGATGAGATGCGCTGCGGTTGGGAGTCCTACAAGACGGTTCCCACTAATTTCTCTCTCCTGTTCCGAATTTCCCCATCCCGTATTCATTTTTATCACCTGTTCCTAAACTTTTACTAAAATCTCCGATGACAATTTTAAAGTAACTTCTATAATGCTGAAATATTTGCAAAACTCTGCACCGCAGGTGTCTGCGGTGGGGAACGAACGCGCTATTGTCCTTTCCGGGGAGTAACGCGTTCACCACCACACCATGCGGGTCCTTTAACTGGGTTCAATGTCGATTTGGGCTCCCCAGATCAATCCCGTTGACGGGTGATTGCTGATGGCAAAAGACCGATAGAACTAGCTGAGAGACAGGCGAAACGAAGGACCCGCATGGTGTGGTGGTGAACGCGTTACTCCTGGAAAGAACAATAGCGCGTTCGTTCCCCACCGCAGACACCTGCGGTGCATAGTTTTGCAAATATCTCAGCATTATACAAGTTATATTTCGCAACATACCCTGCCGTTAAAAAGAATAGACAGTAAATAAAAAAGGTTAAGATTGCGATTTTAAAGTAGTTGTCGCTGCGGATTACTTTCCAACTAGTTATAAAACGCGTCCAGCCCGCCCTCATAAGCTGTACAAGTTAGTGAGCTGCAGTTGGTGATACCGACCTTATCTTGACGCGGAAGTTGGAAATGAAGGATGGCCAAGCCCAGTGGGAGGATCTCGTATGAGTATGGCCGTGTATAAAAGTAAATGAAAAAGTAATCATTATATGGCCCAACACCACATGTGTCACACTGTGCGGATCCCAGCAGTTCCCGTATTTGAGTCGTTCCCTCGAATAACCGCCCACAAAGGTCTTCGCATATTTTGCGTGTGGGTTCTGCTGCCGCTAGCGCGTTTTCGATCTTCTTTGCGAATGTCGTTAATTGGTAGTCCAGCCGATTCCGCACGGAATGCTGAGACAGCTTCCTTAGAGCGTCGCTACTACTTCACCCAACTTGAAGCTCTCTGAACATTTCCCCTTAAAATGCTGAATGCTGGTCGAGCGTGATTTTCCTTGGAAACCACAGCCAGTCAGCCTAGAGCGTTCTCAGGTCCTCTCCGAAGACGGTTGCCGCCCTTTGTAGTCTGGAGAGGAATTTACCTGCGTCTTGTACTCTTCTAAGACGATAGCGATTTTAATACAGCAAATCCAGCGCTCGGTCGATCACCAGCTCGAAGACGATTTCACATGCTAGTCTTTTCCATTTATCCCACCACAGAATTCTAATAGACGGTCCCTTAAAGCTGATTACATTTCCGCCCCTTATTTACCACAGTAATTCTTCGTGCTTCACTTTCTTTCGTATCAAGAAAACTTGCACTTGAACTGCGAATTTTAGGAAATTTAGTTTTTTACTTCATCATTAGTAGACGAAAGAATCGATACCAAAAAAACCAAAGGTGCTGGACATAATTACAGTAGATGAAGACGTCCACAGGAAAAGAAGTGCCTGTTGTGAATCAATCGCTTGCGATACGCCTTTCACATAGAATTCTTGGTCAACGACTACACCTGGAATCTTCTAGAATTTCATTTCTAGGAAAAAGTATCGCCCGACTTCAATCTCGTTGTTACCACGCTGCCGTTAAGGTCTTAAAGTTAGTTTTTTTCAGGTGCATTCAATCGATGAGAAGATTCAGAAGTGCAGATGGAACAATCTCCATGGTGGGGGGGCAGTCTGTGATCCATGCAGATTGCACTGTAGAATAATTAATTGTCTTCATTACTGATGAGTTTCATTAGATGGAATTGAAAGTAGCGTACCACATACTTTTTAAACTACCACCGTAGTCACATTAAGTACATTGTGGATTGGAAGAATGTCAGCTGTTTTCTTAGTTCAGCTGAGCAGACCACGGATTTTTTGGCATTAGTTTGTTCTAAATAGGTCTATAACGGGAACCACTGGCCCACACTAGAGCTTCTACACTCCTAGTGAAGGTCAACTGTTGTTGTGGATTGTGATACAATAGCAAGAACAGCTTTGTCAGAACGATGTAATAACCCGTACACATAGATAGCTTCTTGGTAACAGTAGGCTCTGTACGAGACATCTGCATGCTAGTTGTGCTCAATGAATGATAATACACTCAATGAATGACATTTCCGCATTGTGAGTATGAGATAGCTCTTCGTCTCAAAGAGGAGAACTGGCATCGTGTTCTGTGCGTGCTGGCGACTATGTGAGGTATATATGACTCGTAGTCGGCAGCCCAAAATTGGGTGCATTCTGATTTCGCGCCAATTTGCGAGCTTCCACGACGCGAGCAAATGCGCTCGAGTGACAGTTTGCAGCACTGCCGTCTATGAGGGCGGGATATCGTCCTCAACCGAACACGAAATGATTGCGCTTCTCTTCTGTTCCGAGTGACATTGGAAGAGGTTCTTCTTGCATTAGCATTGACTCTTCGTCTTCTTGTTCATGGATAGGTGGGGTGGCTATATGAAGTCTCTGTTAACTGAGTTTGCGGGGAATTTAAAAGTTTGGTGAGATTTCTTCGTTTTTATAGAAGCAGAACTTCGTGCCTATTGTCGCGAAATCATTGCTTATTTGCTTCTGTATTCATTCATTGCTTGTAAGATCTTCTGCTATGAACGGTTATGTTGGCAAACTTTCCCAATGTACTATTCCTTTGTAAGATGTAAAACACTCGTATTCCTTGCTAACGAGTTCAGATTCCTTCACAAAAATTATCTTTTCCAGTACTCTTCTTGAACGATGTTATCTTTCCTCGATAGGCAGATTAAAATGGATACCTCTGACGACGGTGAGCTTGTTGATCGAATGCGTTCAATTTGGTTGGGACGGATGCCTTCATATGTGATCATAGAGTTCTATCTGTTTAGCCGAATTAGTGGCGAACGAAATTGAAACCTGTGATGACCTGAAGACTTTGGAGCTGAGAGGTAACACAGTTGGCGTTGAAGCTGGGAAGAGGCTCGCTCGAGCTCTCGAAAATCATCCAGAGCTAGAGGTGAGTGCTTCACCACCTAGTGTAATTTTCAATATCTCTATACAATTTGTTGAAGCACATACATCAAAATGTTGCACTATCTTATCACACATTTGCTAACTCAAAGGGTCACTGTCGACGCCTATACTTTATTAAGAGTGAAAGAAAGGATATCATTCTACCAATTCACCGGAAATGTAGAGTTTAAGACTGTTCAAATGATGGCTACCTTAAGCAGTATTTCCTTAGAGCCTCTCGAGAAAGCAATGAGCTGGAGAATAAACAAGCACTTATCTTGGTTAACTACTAAAAAAGCAAAATAGAGAGTAAATGCCCTATATCGCACAACGCCCATATTACATCCAGAAATCAATGATAAGTATGACGGGACTACATTACTTAGGCAAACGTGCTACAAATGTCTCTCGCATATGGACGACTTAAGTAGACTGATTGCGGTGCTACGTGGGGCAAACCAAAGGCGGGCATGTATGATCCATTGAGCCGCAGCTGAATTCAAACGATACACTCTTTCATTTCAGTTATGTAATCTGTTCGAACGTATTCATTTGTACGTGTATGGGTGTACTTGTGTGTATGTGGATTCTATCCTGCACGTCATTTCAACCAGAACTACCATTCAAGTGGTCAAGTGGCTGGGAAGTTAGAAATGACCGGTCGCGATCGCTTCGAATGAATATGCTCGGCGTTCACTTGTTGGAACTGGACAAGATACCGTGACCATGTCCAGTCTCTCCACCTGGACGCCATCTTCTTTTCTTTGGTTTCTCTCCACAAGCAGCAAATGTTGAAGACCGCATATGAGAACTATGACATTTCCTGTTTCTTTCGACCGAAGAAGCGCACTACGTAGATCTAGTCCGAAGTATTGATATAAAGGGTCTTTGAAGGTGCGCCATGCATTCGACTTCATTAAGCATCGTTTGGAGGTGATTGAATACATATCTAGCCTTTACAATAACTCGCGGTGCCTACCGATGTATCGAGCCAGTGCTGCTATCCTCCCAGACAAGTCTGATACCAATTTGCCGACCCCGAAGGGTGAAAGGCTTGGTGGGCCATGGGCGCGGACATCAATTCCACGTGAGTGTGTTGCAGGGCGCCTCCAACCACGGGCACATGCGCCCTTAGTCGTGATATATGGAGATTAACTAGAATATAAGGGATAAATCGTTAGGTGCTGATCATTTGCCGATTTACGTGCTATACATTCGAATCCATTATCTTAGATGTGACTGGACCTATATCTAAGCTATCCAATGACTTGTGGTACCCTTCCAAACAGGTCTAGTGCCAACTCGACGACTTAAGAGAGATGGAATGTTGGTCGGCCCTAGACTCTGGGTGAAACCAGTGGCCTGTAAGTACTAGTTCTTTATTACTAGTCAGTGCATTACATGTACTCCGAATAAAGACTGCTATTCAGTGAGCTATAATTTTGAATGAATGAACATCGCTGTCTTCGTGCGACCAGTCCTCAGATTAGTACTGTTTAAATCTTATTGGGAACGTTGGCGGAGAAAATCGCATTAAAATCTTAAAACAAATGGTTTGAATATGCCTGCTTATACCCTTTATAACATATCACGATTGATAACAAGCCAAGACATCCTGTGTCTTGCAATTCATCTATAAGGTTTCAAACCATTATGTGCTAGACGGCTTGCTTTTCTCAGCGAAAACGAAAAGCTGTTGAACACCTGCGTGGCTTAACCCCGCGAATGCGCCGCTAAAACTATTTAACTTTGTGATACCCAAATACTATACTGTTTACCAACTTCCTTTTTCCACAAAGCTTCTCACTTAAATGTAGATTTCTCCTTCTGGAGGTAGCGAAAGTGGAAACTATGAAGTACAGCGTAGAACAAGGCAGTGAGATTGTCAAGGCATAGAGAGAATAGGTGACGTACTGGTCAATGGTGTAATTTGCAGAGATGTCTATGGAGTGATCTGTTCACAGGTCGATTGAAAACGGAAATACCACTAATACTGGTAAGTATAAGTTAGGCGTTACTCAGAAGAACGACTAAGGTCTAATCACTTGATAATATCTGTATTCAGCGTACTTTATGTTCGGCAATGATAAGTGCCAACTGCCACATTACAGAACTCGATCTTTCTGACAACGCTTTCGGACCCATTGGAGCTGAAGGTAACTTCCTTAATCTTTTCTAAAAACTTTTTTTTGTTCCTGGGTAGAAGCGGATTCTTCGTTGAGTTAATTTTAAAACATTCATGACGAATAGTATCGGAGTACGTGCATGTGTTAGAGTCAAGCGTTGTGAAAGAGTGATTAAGTCGACGTTTCCAAAAAAAAGTTCAACTTCATGTTTTGAGTTGCTTCTAAATTTGATCCATTTAATAACCCAAAGACTAATGTTTGGATCGTTGAGAGGAATATATCAAAACAATGGATATTCAGAGGTTTTGTCCTTTATAATCTATGAAGAGGATTTTCCCGAAATCCGCTTACCATGATGTGAGAGGTTATAGGTATTTCGCAGTTCTTAGCATCGCCATCCGCGTACTCACTCCAGATTTTGAAATTGAATAACAACGGTCTCGGCGCCGGTGGACAGGTCTGTGGGTAAAACTATTAACACACATTATTATTTCTTATGTCTTACTAGTGTTCATCGCTTTATCAGTTCTGATCTTCCTGCATAATAACCTGTCTTCATTTCAATTTAGACCATCGCGAAAAGTTTACTGGAGTGCCACAGAAATGCCTCAAAGGACGCTACTGAGTTTAAACTGAAGACATTCATTGCTGGACGAAATCGCCTCGAAGACGCAGGAGCAAAAGCTTTAGCTGAAGCATTTTCGGTAAGATGGGTCCAGTACATAATTGCCACGACCGACTTTCTATTAATCTCGGCATTGATCAAGTAATTTTCTTCGTATTTCCGTTGAGCAAACGCGAGGTGTCACTATTCTTTGTTCACGACTAAGCTGACGTTTCGGCGGATTTCGCCTTTCTCAGAGCCGCTTCCTACGAGGTTTCCACTAAGTATACTACTACTATACTAAGTATACTACTTAGTGGAAACCTCATAGGAAGCGGCTCTGAGGAAGGCGAAATCCGCCGAAACGTCAGCTTAGTCGTGAACAAAGAATAGTGACACCTCGCGTTTGCTCAACGGAAATACGAAGAAAATTACCAGTACATAATGTTTAAGTCTTTAAGAACTTCCAGTTATCCCACTTTCGAATTTTGTACTTTTTTTTTTGTAAATAGGTGCTTGGCTCCCTTGAAGAAATCAGCATAGCACAGAATGGTATTCGTGAAGAGGGTATTTGCGCTTTGGCGAAGTCTTTCCAATCAAATCCTTCCCTTCGGGTCATCAACCTCAATGACAACACGTGCAATATTGAAGGAGCTCTGGAGTTGGCTGAGGTTAACAGATCAATATGTAGAAGGCTGTTCCAATAAATCCTTCTATTATTTGTTCGTGCATCTTTAGGCTATTCGATATCTCTCAGAGTTGGAGGTTCTTGACCTCGGAGATAGTTTATGTAGAGATGACGGCGTTATCGGCATCTGTGAGGTCATTTCTGACAGCGAACATCGAAGACTTAAGGTTAGTGTACGCGAAGTAGTTAGCTAAGTGTTTTCCTTAAAGATATCGTTTCTATACCTATGGTTTTTATATGGCTTTATTCATAAACCGAAGTGTACTGATTCGATGAGAAACAGATTTCGTTCCTAAATATTCGAATTCTTTGTCGACTAGGTGCTAATGCATCATCACTTCGTTCATAACTCTCAGGTCCGTAATGTAGTATTATTAGTTGCTTTACAGTAGGGGTTTAGTCGTATTTTTGCCACGTTCCACATGATCGTGAACGAGTATGTCTATAATTCATTCTGCATAATATTACTCACTAAGTGGTCACACTAGGCACTGGTTAGCAGCACTGGCTCGATACATCGGTAGGCCACCGCGAGTTATTGTAAAGGCCAGGTATGCATCCAGTCACCTCCAAACGATGCTTAATGAGATTGAATGCATGGCGCACTCCTCAGAGATTGATCAGCCGAGAACCCTATCGTCTATTATTAAATGGACACACTGTTTTGTGTTATGCACAATGCTGCACATCTGCAGATGCTACGCGTTCTAGTCGTGTTGCATGGAATAATTCATATGCACTAACTTTTTGCTTTCAATCATGCCGACGCCTAGAATGATTCGTATATGGATGTTATTTCTTGCGGATAATTTGTTGTAACATTAAGTTTTGTGGTTATTCTTTATAAGGGCGATACACCATCTTTACTTACTCCTAAATATGTTCCCAAACCATTTTCTTTCCTTTGAATTTAGTAGGATAAGTGTCGTAACACTACAAGGAAGATTATAAAGGTAATGCACAAGCGTAATCTGATATCAGTATTTGTTTATTCCTTAAAGAAACAACACATATCAATGACGGCAATGAATTGTATGAGAAATTCGCACTGGTATGTGCGCAATTTTCTTGATCTTGATAGTGTGCCACCGAATTGCTCGCCAGTTGTCGGAATGCAAGTGTGTGCTAGACTTCGTCCGTCAAACAGTGCCGTATGTGGTAGGACCGTTAATCCACTTCTCTTCGGTAGTGGTGGATATAGGTTGTATATAACAAGGAGACAGATTTTTTGACACAGTGGATTTCACAGTAGAACTCTATTCGACTATGTTACGCTAAGTTCAGCATGAATTTTCCCACGCATCGAAGAAAGCGATTATAGATTTGCTCAACCAGAGTGTGTATACATGTGTAAAGATCCTTCGGAGCTATAAAGTGATTCCAGAATATCATCATTTTGTAACGGCACAAACGTTAGCGTAAGTGGAGGAATTGGTCAAGGTGATAGCAGCTCACCAAAGTTATGACCTTCGACCTCCTTCAAAGATCATGCAGCAATTGGAATGTGACAAGATAGGATTAGAAGTCTTTTGTCGCCAATTATATTCTCCTCTTTTTTTTTGTTGAAGATATCACTTATAACACCGAAAATTAGTCATGCTGACCAATTTCGGCAGTGTCTGTAGGAAGACTGATATTTGACAAAATCTGAATAAGATGAAAAACGGACTTTTTTCCGTTTCATTCACGGTCAATGAATGCATATCCCCAAGCGTCATAGCTATGTGTATCTGTGTCAAAATCAACGTGATGAACGACTTAACTACATAAATGAGAAGGATGAAACGAGTACCTAGGGATCATCAAAGGTGTGACGAAGCGGACAAGAAACAACAGGCACCACGCCGACCTTTTCAATGCTGCATTTTTTGCCGTATTAACGTTTGAGTAGAAAACCTGGTCGCTACGTAGACAACATGGAAGTGCTATTGAAAGTGCATTCGGAAGAGCGATGCTGAAACTATACCTTACCGCAGAAATGAGAAAGGGAATCAGGTCTTCTGATATGATATACGTTAACGACCAAAAATTAGAAACACCGTTATACAGACGAAAATGTCGAAAAGCAGGTGTGCCGAACAAGTAATGCGCATGAACGACGACGGGTAAACAAGGGTCCTGAGGGCCTATGTGTAACGAAAAGTATAAGACCAGCGTTTCTACGGTTAAAATACCTTGCTATGTTCTCGTAAGAAAAATGTGGTGTTCAATGATTCTGTAGAGCGAACTGAGTGCACTAAACTGCTCTACCATGCAGCAAAGTTATGTAGAGGTTTTCCTAGTTGATCGAATGATTCACAGAGGCCACTTGGTATGCGTGATCCAAGCAAAGAAAGAGTAGAAAGAAATTGTGGAGAGGTTGGAAATTACACGACCCATCTTTCATATTTATTGTGTGGATCACGGCACTTTCTACACAGGGTTCGTTTCCTCGCATTCATCCTTCGCAAAGGTCTTCCAACTTTCTGCGTGTGGGCTCAACAGCTAATTGAGGGTTTCTTCTTCCTAGAGTCCTGAGATAGCCGGGGTTGAGCATTCCCATTTTGATTGCAGGTAGTGAGGTTTTTTTCAAACAAGTCTAGTAACAATTTCCCGGTCTTGGAGTGATGAGAGGCTTGTTGAGCCGAGGCGTGGTGGAACCAGCATCATGCTCGTGGTGATTCGTACTGCTACATTGCGTTACCCCCATATACATACATGTGTATGTTTACATATGCATATACATATGTATATATGTGTATATTCTTGTACGTATATATCTATGTATGTATGTGCATACACATATATATACATATGTAAAATTGGTTCGATGCTGTGACCATTTTCAATTTTAAGCCTAAATACCTCAGCTCATGGTGCAATTTAATGGTTAGGGTGGAAACCTTTACAATCTATCGCTTTCGTCCAACAAGTAAAACTTCTCTTACTCTACTAGGATGAAATTACGACTTTTCGCTGCACAGGAGACAGTTTTTTTTGTTACTTCACGTCAAGCGTAGTATTTCGAACACCAAAGCAAGTTGAATTTACTTCCGAAGGATACGATATTTTGCAATGTAACGTTACGCTTAGGGTACCACACCTAAACTGAAAATTGTAGGAATTTAAGTTTCATTAGATGGTTCTTAGAGCGCAGCTAAGGTTTTCATCGTTTCGACACTATAAGTGAACTAACAAAGCCATAATTGAGATCAAGTGGTAGGTTCGTCGAATAAGCAATGGACTATGAAGCTATGCTGTGTGCGAAAAGTTGCATTTCTTGACTGAAAACAAGTTGTAGCGTATAACCAAAATTTAGGCCTGTAAATATAGGCTCCGTAGATTATGAGAAGGGTAAAATCTGCACAACATAGGAGTAATATCATCAATAAGCTGCTATTACTAAATTCATGTATACCCAAAATTGCCATGTGATGTATATATTCTTTATAGAATGCTACCCAATTAGTTGCAAAGACTTCTCCAACATTTCATCTTTGCTGAATGCGAAGGGATGTATTATTAGCCTCTTAAGAGCACATTCACTACGATTACGTAGAGGGGTATTTAATCCCGTTTAATTAGAACACCAGGTTTTGAGGAGTAAGCGAGAGCAGGGAGATTCAGAGTTGGAAACTTTACTACATTCTGCCTTGATATGTTAGAAAAGGAGGTTGCGCTTCTACTTTTGTGGAAGGGCTATCGCTGAGAGATCCATGGAAGCTGTTTTTTTTTCCGGATGGTGTAGTGGTGAAGTGCGCTGCTCCCCGGTAAGGACAACAGCGCGTGTTCGTTCCCCACTGCATACACCTGTGGTCCGGAGTTTTGCAAATATCTCAGCACTTCATACGAGTTATATTTCACAACATACCCTGCCATTAAGAAGAAAAGGGCAGTAAATAAAAGAGTTAAGGCTGTTTTTTTTTGTCACATTAATGAACTATTTATAACAAAGGATATTGGAGGAACTTCATAAGTCTTAGCATCTGTTTATTAAAATAGCAGCATTTAAATCTTGGCGGCAAAACATATGAACGGCGGTTCTTATTTATCGTGTTTCAAACCTGGAATTACACACATCTGTCAGTATACTTCCTCCTAACATGTTGCTCAGTGTCGTAAAAGTTTCAACACTTTTATTTCTGGTATCTGAGGATTTCGCACTGCGGAGAGTTATACGAGAGACTTTGTTCCATCGCTAGTGGTACATATAACTTCTGTGAGTACCTAAAAATTTTGTTTTTTTTTTTGTTTTCCACAATCCCTCTTCACATCTACTGTGCAGATACCAACACTTTTTCTGTTAGATCCCTTGGCATCCACACGAAGGTCTTCGGTCTTCTCGCCTTTGGATTCGGCTACTGCTTTGAGGGGTTTTCTTTGTGATTCCCGCGACCGATTTCCTATTAATATTTTCTAATCTATTTTCAATCTGTCTTCCTATCTGATTTCTATTACTGTTGTTATTTTTTTGTTTCCACCATGGTGTTGGATGCTGCTTCAGGACGTTCTTCCTGGAGTCCTGAGGTAGCTGCCCAAGAGCGATCCCACTTGGATTGCAGAAACTCGCAGAAAAGTTTGGTACAAATTCTTCAACTGCGGAGGGATGTGATACTCGGTGGACCTGATCGGGGTCGAACCTACACCGGGCTTGTTATAAACAGAATCATTGCTACGGCGGTGTCAGCGCCCTCGTTTAGAAATGGTACTTCTAAATGCAGTAGGATTAGTTTGTTGAGTTTTAAAATAAACAGATGTCCTATACGAATTTTCGTTCTATAAAGGAGCTTTCCCGTGACTTTAGCAATACTTTTCTGTTAAGTGAAGTGTGACGAAAATTATTATGCATCTCATATATCATCCGTCACCCCATTCCCACGTAACAAAGTTGTCTAGTACCTAGTATTCGTTTGAGGAGCATAGCATCACATTTTCCCTTTTGTTTCTATTCCTTACGAGGAACGATTCAATCATTTGTCCTTGGCACAGGAAGGATGAACATATCGAAAGGTAATTTACTCCATCTCTTAGTCGGACGCTTGATTGCAAGTCTGCAGCCGAATAGGCGTGCGTGAACAGGATACGTTTGGAGAAGGCGGCTGAATGGTAGCAATCGCTTGCCTATCTATACGCTCTATTCCCCAACGAGGATTCGAATAGATTTCCACGTGATAGTAATCTTACACCGAATGAGACAATGACAAAAGTGCTGCCACTGAAACGGTTGGATTGTTTACGAGTACCTCAACATATATGCAGAGTAGATTAATAACTGTTACCATCAGGGATCTTCGTTTTTAGGGAACCGTGAGAATTTTCGTACGAGAGTGCCGCAGTAACATTTGCTGTGTCGCTGATGACAGCTATTGTGCAAACGGATTGACTATTTGTATTGTTATTTAATACTCTAAAAGCAAAAGTCTGCATACTGCCTGTAGGTATCAGCCATGTATTTGTTTCTTTGTTCTTATTCTCTTACTTAATCTTTACGAAAGCAAGTGGATTTCTTCTTGACAGGATGTATCAATCCTTGGCATGACTAAAAAATTTTCTTTAACGGAACTTATTTCAACAAGTGGACAAAAAAGTCGAAACTTCTCCAAAGTTTTTTTGGCTAATTATCTTTCTTATTGATCGTTCTCCTTTTATTCTTCTACCAACATGTTTAGTATGTGGATTTTTCGGGTAACGAACTGTCAGCGGAAGCTGCTTTACTTGTTGTCAAACTGTGGGAGGAGACATTTCTCGCCGCTGAACAGAATGTGTACATCAGTTTCCTTTCTTCTTTTGTGACTTGCCATTTTGACTTTAATGTGCAAAAATGGTTTTCAGCAAGTTGAAAATGTCAAATAACTGCTTCGGGTCGCAATTCTATGATGTTCTTGATATGATTGAGGGTACGCCAATTGAAATCGGTGAAAAAGAGTAAGTTTTTTTCCCTCCTTAGCTAAAAAAGAAAGTGTGCTTTGGTGTAAAATACACTTCAAGGATGATTTCTACTTGATTTCCAGTGATGATGAAGGAACACTATCTCTGTGTTCAGATGAATACGACGAATCGGAAATTGAGAGTGGGGAGTACACTGATGACGAAGAAGTGGACGAAGGTATTGTAAATCCTTGTTTTCAAGTCATGTCGTGTCTTCATTTCATCATCGTCATACTGTTTTATATTTTTGCCTAACGTTATTGTTTCTTGGACCCTGTAATACGAGCGGAATATAAGTTGTGATTACCATACCCTATCATTAGTTTACCGCCATATCAGAGCTTGTGAATCGTTTCTGTGTCAGGTTGCCTCTCTCAGGGTGAAGTATTCGACATCTTCATTTGAAATCCCAATGAAGCGTAGGCGTTTAAGACGGAAACGCAAAACCCACCACTAAAAATAAAGGGCCTTACACTGACGATGAAGCTTTTTCTATGTCCATTGGCTAGTACAACGTACTCCGTAGTGGTGACCTGCGACATTGATAAATGCAAAGCTTTTTTGATACTGCTCTAACTAGTCGGGTATTAAGTGGATAACAGGTGATATCGTTTATAGTCTAAAGGTAAAGTATGACAGGAATGGAGACATGGAACAATAAGTAGATGTAGTAGTGTACATGACAATAAACTTTATTGATTTTGGAAGTTTAGATCTCTATGAGAAAGAACAAGTGGTGGCCGGTGATACGGAAATAAGCAATTTATTAAAGAGTTTGGGTTGCATAAAGTTTGAAAAAGAGCCCAAAAGTTCTACGGATGGTGTGGTTTCATTCCTAGATCAGCAATTGAAGCTAAACACTGTACAAGATGGTAAGTGCAATGAACTGCTCTGTAGATTGTCTTTCTTCTTTAGCTTTATGTGATGGTACCATTTCGAGTTTATTTAGTTTATCCCGTTGTTCGACGTATTGAACAGCAAGAATGTATGCGCGTACTTGAATTGCGTGGTAACACTCTTGGTATCGAATCAGGGAAACGAATTGCTCAAGCGATTGAACGCCACCCTGAATTGCAGGTAAACTGGATCCGAGTTAAATATGTCCTTTTATCCATCAACGTTATGTTTATTGCAGTATTATGAATCATATAGTAAAATTTTGGGTGTATCTAAACGAATTGACGTTTTTCGAGCGATAGCCATTTAGCGTAAAAGAAAATGAAGGAAGTATGATAGTCAATGTACTGTCTGCAATTCATTTTAAGTTTACTCGTTTTTCGGTTAGATTGCGCACAGCCCTACTAACAGGATTGAAATACTTAGCATTCCCTAAATACTGTAAGATATTTTGCTCCTTAGCAGTTCATTTATTGTGCTGTTCAATAATATCCTAGTCAAATGTTTGTTGAACTGATGCTTTTTCTCTAGTATCAAAGCACGTGTTTATATAAAAGTGCGCAGGCAGCGAGGTGGTTAGAGGTGCACTGCAGTACATGTGTAATCAATCCCCCACCCCAGGCTCACCAAGCCTTCCATCCCTCCTAATTCGGTGAATTGTTACCAGACTTGCTTGGGAGGATAGCAGAACTGACACGGCACATCGGGAGGCCACCGAGAGTCATTGTATAGGTCAGATATGCATTACTTCATGAAGTCGAATGCATGACGCATCCCTCAGGGATTGATCAGCGCCAGAAGCTTCATCCTCTGCTTTTTTGTGCTTATATAAAAATGCCAGTTAAAGTGTCCTTTTTTCTTTTATTAGTTGACTAACACTTTATTTTATAGTTGATCTTTTATAATTAGGTGCTTATGGAAGTTTAATAGAAGAGCAGCACAAGTAGCATAACACGGAACTTTTAATTATTAACAACGTTTTCGTGTGTTTTTATTAAAGGGTGAAGCATTGATAACCCTTTAGATCATAGAGTAAATAATTTGTGAAATTATTCTAAGCATTAACCGGTGTTCGAAGGAAATCACCGGCTTGGTACAAACCAAATAGCGGGTTTTAAACCGATATAAGTTGGAAAGCTATAACTCGCTCTGAACACAGCTTTGTTATTCGAAATAAGTTCCGCTAGAGTCTACGTATCTTTTGCTAGCACGTTAGAAGTCCATTTAATCCGATAGGTTGGATTTCTGATATTCTAGAAGCGGCCTGTTTATTTGAAGGCAAATTATTTTGTTTTTCCGAGCCGTCTTTGGTGAGCTGATACGACATTGCTTTCGCGTATATTAGCTATCAATCTTCCACCTGCATTTCTTTAGAATTTCTTCCATTTCGTGGCATTACTTCTCTTCCGTGGTCGTTTTTTTCAATATTAGAAGAATTTTTGCATGGTTCTATATTACTTATGCCGGAAAAGAGAATCCATTTCAGTTTTGGGAAACGTTTAGAAAAATTGTCTCATGTCGAAAACACGTGGGATTCGTCTGTTGTCGTATAGGATCCACTTTCCTCTGTACAGCATTTTATTCTTCATCGTTACAGTGCTCTGAGGAAATGGTTAGGCCGTTTTCGTTGTGTACAAAGTTTTCGCTCTTTCGCATTGTATCGATTCATCAAGTACCCAGTTTTCACCTCTCTAAGGCCTTGCAAATGACAAACGGTTGCATAACCATTAAGTGTTGAGGTTTTCTACAACCACTCCAATACCGACTTCGATTTTTGACTTCAGATGGTAATCATTTCGTTTTGATATCGCTAACAACCTTCTCCGTTGTGGAGATTCATATCTTCGCTACGAAAATTTTTGGACATCTCCACGTTCTGCGTTCGGAAGCCTTTTCCTGGACTATGCTTTGCTGATATTTCGACCTTTCGACATAGTACAGTTGCATTATGCCTAGTTTTGAACTCATAAAACAATACGATGCAGTTCTCGTAATTTGAAAACATCATTTCAGCCAGTCTTAAGCCGTTGTAAATTTAGAGTTCGAAAAGAAGTACCATATGCGAAATCGCTATGAACGAATAAGCTGGAAAATGGTATACAGTGCCAATATTAGCAGACAATACTTGTATACTTGGATACTTCGACAGTCCGTCTTCGCGAGCTGTACGGCACCCAGCACATATGCTATTCGTTCATTTCTCTCGCAATCGTAGTCCATGGTGGTGGTTTTGTTCGAGCATGGTAGCGCGTGCGAATCTCATACTGTGATCTGTAAAACAACTGCAGCTGCGGGTACAGCTGATTAACTTTGTTTACGAACAGGTTTGCCCAACATGTATGTGCACGTCCTAGGGGATGTTTGTGTTCTCTTAGAGTCCACTCTATTGTTCTTTTCGTCCATCTGTCGTATGTTCTTTTTATGTGACTAGCCCATCTATGTTTCACTGTTTCGCAAAACCTGTTACTTACTTGTGTACTTGGATGGCCTGTCTTCACTCGCTGTGCTAACCTCACCATAATCTCTATTTTTCGGAGTTTTGCTGGTTTAACCATTGTATTTTCCTGGAGTCCCGAGGTCAGCCTAGGCAAAGTCTGTCTTAGGTCGTCAACATCACAGGCAGTCGCCGCATTTGTGGATCAGAAGGAGATTTGCCACCATGCGACTAGTTTGACAGCAGGGCGGTGGTTGATCCTCGTATAGGTTTACTCTTAACTGGGTTTTCTGATTGAAAAACCAAACTCCTTGTCACATTGTAAGACCCTGCTAGACGGACGAATCCCTCCGTCGTATATCGCAACGCGAGAAGGAAGACTTCCCAGCCACGATGAGGCCGTAAACCGTTGGGAGGACAAGCCCTATTACTTTACTTACTTGGATACTTGGACGGTCCGTCTTCACGAGCTGTGCGGACCCCAGCGCATATGTCATTCGTTCCTTTCTCTCGCGATCGTAGTCCATGGTGGTGCTCCTGTTCGAGCATGGCAGCGCTTGCGAGTCTCATACCGTGATCTGTAAAACAACTGCAGCTGCGGGTAGAGCTGATTAACTTTGTTTACGAACACGTCCGCCCAACGTGTAGGTGTTCGTACAAGAGGACGTTAGCATTCTCTTGGAGTCCACTCTACTGTTCTTTTCGTCCATCTGTCGTCGGCTCTGGTCCATCTATGCTTCGCTGTCGATGTTTATTCTCCTGGGTCTCAAAGATGTGACAGATTTCGAAGGTCAGAGCTTTGCTTTCCGGCTAGATATTGCCAGTTATATTTCACAAGACATCGCTCAAGCGCTCTGTGAGTAGTGCGAAGCATTCCTGACGTGGTTGAAGTATCAACCCACGTCTCTGCAGCATAACAGGGCGCTAGGAGGACCGTATAATCGAAGAAATGAGCGCGGTTTTTCGGGTCCTTCAGTTGGTCGGTGGATTCTTTGAGTGGTCCGAATGCGGCCCAAACTGCTCTTCTTCTTCTATCTAGTTCCTCATTCGTTGTTTTCCATGCTCATTGGTCGCCCAAGGTATACGTACGAGGTGGTCTCTGCAATGAGAGAGCCATCCAATTCAATTTTTTCGCCTTCGCACCATCGGTTTTTCATGAACTGGGTCTTCTTTCGATTTGTGCGAATTCCGATCTTTTTTCCCGCTTCGTTGAGCTCGTTGATCATCATCTTTTCTTCGCCAGTACTTCTTGATAAGATGACAATGTCGTTAGCAAAATGAAGGCTTGGTAGGAATTTTCCATCAATACGTATGCCTTTCTCATCCCAATCTAGTGACTTCATTATCCACTGCGGTGCGGCACTGAACAGCTTTGGCGATATTGTGTTGCCTTGCCGAACCCCTTTTCCTATGGGTATGGTAAGAGGTCTATGGAGAAACTGTATTTTCGTAGGGCAGTACCGAAGGCAGTCGGACGGAGTTCTTATGTAGGACGGGTTCACTTCCTGGTCGTCTGATAGGATTGCATTCGTTTCGACAGTCAAACGCTTTTTCATAGTCGACAAAGGTTAGGACTAGAGGCAAGTGGTATTCCCGACAAACTTCGAAGACCCTGGGCACGGTTTGGTTGTGGTCAGTGTAGCAAATTCCTGTTCGAAATCCTGCTTGCTCAACTGGTTGCGCCTCATCCAGTGTCCTTGATGTGCGCGAGAGGATAATCTTCGTGAAGAGCTTGTAGGGTACACTCAACAAGCATATGGGACGATAGTTACGAAAATCCCCTCAGTCTCCTTTCTTGGGCAGGATGACGGTGCGCGACGTCCTCCGCAGGCCTGGGATTTTTTCCTTTTGAAGACAGGCTGTCATATGTTTTGCGAGAAGTACATGTAAATTGTGGCCTCCAGCTCTAAAGAACTCGGCGGTGACATTATCTGGTGCTGGAGCTGTGCCTCTTTTCGCGCTTTCTATCGCAACTCGAACCTCCGACGAAAGAATTTCAGGTGGTTTTTTTTCAATCGGGGATGTTAGGGTCCGAGACAGAGATTGTGGAATGGAAAGGGTTGGTGTACAACGTTTCCGCTATTAATTCCATATCATGTCGGTCGATACTTATTGAATATATATTTTTTACAAAATTCATTTGTAGGTTTCGTGATGGCGAAACACTTTATACCAACTTGATTTCTTTAAGAGAACTATGTCATTTTGGATGAAAATTGACGTTTTAGAGGTGTTTATGGAGCGATCTGTTCACTGGAAGATTAAAAAATGAAATACCACCAATTTTGGTGAGTGTTTTTCCACTGTTAAGTGCACTTTGAAAACTCAACATTATTACGTCATTGGCTCTATCGATTACAGAAATCACTGTGCACCGCTATGATCTCGGCTAATTGTCACATAACCGAGTTGGATCTTTCAGACAACGCATTTGGCCCTATCGGAGTTGAAGGTCTGTCGTTTTCATTGTCCCTTGTTGTATGAAGATTGATAGCAAATTGATGTTAAAAACATTAGATCCAGTTTATTTATCTTTACGTTATTACATGAAAGAGGTAAGTCGTATCATCTTCTGAAATCTTTCACTGCTTGTTCCAAATGTTATAAATGGGATTTCCTCTAGGCTATCGCTGTCGTTTGATTTTCTTTAGCTTCGAATACGAAAGCACTTAGGTAATGAGGCGCAGAAGAGCGTCTTTGCTGTACTCTTCTTGGATATTGCCTTTTGAATGAAGTTTATGAATTGGTTTGACCACTCTACAAATGGAGTGTCCCTGAATAGTAATCATGTCACGGACGCTTAGTCTTGTTGACTCTACACTCAATTGAAACGTGATGGTTGTTTCTCTTCGGACCGTGCCCCAAGTAGTGTTCATTAGGGTTCACCATACCTGTATCTAGCTTCGACTCCTCTGGCTCAATAAAATCGATAAATCAGGGCCGATGGTCCGGTTCGATCATCCACAGTTGGTGAAAATGAAAACGTCGACGTTAGCTTAATAAAGCCTCTTTATCAACCTCGTGTAAGCTCACAATTTTAAACATGCCTGATAGATTGTTAGAATGCAAAGTTGACTAGGTAGAAAGTCTTCAGCCACGAGACTCTTCTTCGTTCCTGAGCCATGATCTGGCCATTCTGACTAAAACCTGCTCAGACCGCAGCAGTACCCTCTTGCTCCACCTCCCAAAAAGGACTGACGGTGTGGTTGTCGGAGTATTGCTGAGCTTGTAGTTGGAGTCTAACAGTTTCGTAAATCCAGTATTGAAGTGTAACCAGCACTTCCATTAATTTCATTGTCTTGCAGCGTTCATGGTTTTGCGTGGTATTTTGTCTGCAGGGTTAGAATCTACCATAAATCACTGTGTCATTCGATGGAAGATTTTTTGATTTTTCCTCCCACAGATAATAAAATAAGGCTCAAAGTAGTTGAAGCGACTAAAAAATAATGACATATGTAATGTTCTCGTGTACCAGTTGAATATTCGAGCCGCAAGTGTGCTTTTCCTGGACATCCTTAGATGTACGTAGTAAAGGGAAATCAGGTAAAAAAAATTGCACGTGCGTTGGTGGTAGATCTGCTTTAATGGTTCATCTGCAGTTATGCTTAAAGTTATTCCATCTGTCGTGCACAAAAAAAAAATCAATCTTACATTGCAGTTTGGTTTCGATACGTGTTGCAGTGCTTCATCTTTCTCCAAACATTGCGCGGAATATCGTTGATCGAATGGAATCATTTTCAGTCGCATGTCATAATTCGACTAGGAAATTAATCCGTTTTTGTCTACAAAAACGTTTGTCGGGTTTTACGGCTCGTTTCTGGGCAAATTTGAGGGCACTGATTTGCTTTTGCCTAGTTCTTTTCTGAGATTCCGAACAATTACTAGCCGGTATTCTTCGGCCCATTGTTTTCAATTGGTCATCTTCGTCCTGTTCCTGTAATGGTTGCGTTTCTGTTCACCTTCAAAGCCTCATCTATGTCAAACTTTTGAGAAAAGTGTCGTGCCATATAATGATTCTTTATTGATATTAATGATTCTCTTACTAAAACAGGGCGCGTTCGGCGCAGTGGTTGGAGGCACCACTGTAACACACACGAGGAATTGATCCGCGCGCCCATGGCTCACCAAGCCTTCCATCCCTCCGTGGTCGGCAAAATGCTTGTCTAGGAGGATAGCAGCACTGGCTCGATACATCGGTAGACCATCACGAGTCATTGTAAAAGCTAGATATGCATCCAGTCACGATACTATGCATTCAAAAAGCCAGCAATTTCGTAAAGGTTGAAAATTAGACGTCGTTCAATCAGTAACAAGCCTGAGTTTGGACGTCGTCTAGAGCATGCTCAAAAAAGATTACGATCTGAAATAGTAATTTATAAGAGGCGAACGTCATAATTGCTTTCAATAGGTGTTCATAGAGAAGTGTTGTCTTTCTTTTAATATCGTTATTTCACTTTCTATGAAGTGAGCTGCGTGATTTGAACATCTCTACCACTATTGAGGAAACGCTATTATCTGCTATCGCTTCAGTAATAAGGTGTTTGGATGACTGCTAGTGTCATCTAATCTCTTTTTTTTGGAATTTGTGAGCACATGGATGTCTGGAAAGCAAGGCTTGAATTATACAAAATAAGCTGCGGAGAAACCAACGAAGCGTCGGAAACTGTGTTACTTTCTCAATATTTTTGTATTTTCATTCGACCTTACTGTAACTACGACGAAATTTACCTTGTTTTTGGATATCGCTTTTATTAAGTCGTAGATCACGGTTTTTTGCTTTTTGCCTGTGCGTAGGTTGTCCAATGTTGGTGGAAATCCTAAAGAATTAAATACGGCAATAGTTGTTTAGCCTTTTGTACTTGTAGCATGTAATGATAATCCTTTTTTTTAGGAATTCGAGAGTTCCTTATATCACCCGCTGCGTTTTCATTAGAAGTGCTAAAATTGAATAACAATGGTCTAGGAAGTGGTGGCAAGGTATGTAGACTTGTATTGGATTATTCAAACGAATCGGCCAAGTTGAACCATTATTAGTTGTTTATGTTAGGTGATTGCTGAATGTCTATCGGAATGCCATAGCAGGTCTATCAAAGTTGGTCGACCGCTGCAACTAAAAACCTTCATAGCAGGTCGAAATCGCTTAGAAGTACAAGGAGCAAAAGCATTTGCAGCAACTTTTACTGTTGGTATTTTTTCTTGTTTAAGGATGGGTTGTTTACACTTGTCAGCGTAGCACGTTGTAAACGTCTTCTAAAAACATGTTAATTTTGTTATGAAGGATTTTATGGCTGTTTAGTTCTGTTTAATACTTATTTTGATAATTGGACGGCCCGTGTTCACTGGTTGTGCGGACCCCAGCTTATTTTCCATTATTTCGGACTTTTGCTGGTCTTGCTATCGTGGTTCCCTGGAGTCCCTCCTAGGTCGGCCTAGCCAAATGCTGCCGCGGGTCATCACCACCACGAAGAGTCGCCACTCTTGTGGATCGGATCATAATGAGATTTACGAGCATGCGACTAATTTGGTACCACGGCGGTGACGAATGCTGTTATTGGTTTACTCATAGCTGGGCTTCCTGTTGGGAATGCCAGACTGCTTCTCAGTTTGGGAGACTGTCGGAAGTATGAATCCTCCCGCTGTACATCGCAGCCCGACACCTCTTTCAGCCACGATGAGGCGGTAAACTGTTGGGAGGGTTCTGTTTAACACTACCTGCTAAAGGAAATTTTCTTTATTTTCAAATAGTGCAAATTTATGCTGGAAACGTTTTAACATGTTTTTTTTTCAGAAAATTGGAACATTGGAGGAATTAGTTATGCCACAGAATGGGATCACTGTTGACGGAATCGAAGCATTGGCCATGTGTTTCACTTCGAACTCGAACCTTCGTATAGTGAATTTAAATGACAATACAGCTACAGAACGAGGCAGTGATGCTATTGCTAAAGTAGGTATCACATGTCCATCCTTTGAATCGTTTACATGCTGACGTAGTTGGACTACTACGTTTTAGGCGCTTCCTTCTATGTCGAAACTTGAAGTGCTCAATCTTGGTGACTGCTTGTGTCGTGATCAAGGTTGCCATTCCATTGTCGACAGTCTTTCGCCGACAATACACAAAAGTTTAAAAGAAGTGGATTTGTCGGGCTCAGAACTGAGTGGTGCTGCTGCTATGCAGATCATTGAAAAGTGGAGGAAGTTCAATACTACGACGCACTTGAATGTTTCGTCAAATAACTTTGGGCAAGCTTTCAATCTTGTTCGTGAAATGGCTGCTGCAAATGTGGCTGTTGGTGTTTCGGAGTGAGTCCTTATATTGATGAACATTTACTGGTAATCATTGTTGCTACCATTTTACAAACATCTTTTTTTTTCTTGTAGTTGGATGGGGTGCATTATAAGGTTTGGGTTTCAGTTGTCATTTCCCTTTGTTTGTTTGTATGTTTTCATAAGTATTATCGAAATTCCATTCCTTGATATTTATCTCTGAAATTTTGAAGTGTACCAAATTCGTAGTAGAGGCGCGTGTGGTGTGGCGCTTTGGTCGGAGGCGTCCTGCAATACACATGGGATCGATCCCCGCGCCCAAGGCTCAGCAAGCCTTCCATCATTCCGATGTCGGCAAATTGGTGCCACACTTCCCTGGGAGGATAGCAGCATTGGCTCGATACGTCGATAGACTACCGCGAGTCGTTGTGAAGGCAAGATATGCATTCAATCACCTCCAACGATGCTTAATGAAATTGGATACTTGGCGCATCCCTTAGGGATTGATCAACGCCGAGAGCTTCATTTTATCCTTTTATCAGATTCGAAATACGTTTTGTAACCTTTGTGGTAGGCTACCACTCCAAAATGAGAAAAAAGTGTCTTCATCTCCATCTATTTAATCTCCTTCATTTATTACTATTTTCCTTTCATTTTTTGAAACAACGAATCGCTTATCACGGAGCACTCCATATACTGTGCATATAAACTTTCAGCAGCATTTTTTTTACAGCGACGACCAAGGCTCCCTTAGTTCATGTGACGAGCGAAGAAGTGCTATGGACAGTAGTGATGAAGCATCTGGTGAAGTTTTGTCTTGTGAAGAGGTGTGGTGTTACATAGCAATTTTTTATCTCATTTTATCTATTCTACGTGATCCATGTTCACATTTGCTGTGCGGATACCATTACTTTTTGCATTTAATTCGTTTACTTGCATCCATCATCCATAAAAGTCTTCGTACTTCTGCATGTGAATGTTTGCATTCCTGGGATTTCTATATCTGTGTCTAAACTAGGTCGTTCTCACATGGCTTGGAGAGAGTGATCTGGTCCTAGACTTGTCTGGTACCAATATCTTGAACCCAGAAGGATAGGAGGCTTGGTGGGATACAGGATTGGATCCTTTAATATATATATATATATATATATATATATATATATATATAT